ACCTTCTCCCCCAGGAATATTTGGTCATGCTCTGGCAGGGCCGTTGTGTTAGCCCAGTTTAAGAAACCAAAGCTAAGGCGGGTGCAGACCAGTACTTGTGTCTCAACTCTGTTGCTGTTCTTTGTGGGATCAGGAGATGGTGAGTTCACAGAAACCAGGAATCCCTGCAAGACAGAAAGCTCCCTGCTCATTAAGAAGCCTGTGAACGACTTGATTGACAAAAGGAAGGGCTGCATGATGCTGCCCCTGCACCCAGGATGGGCACTGCCCTCTGCCAGGCATGGGACCCTGCTCTGTCCCAGCATCAGCTCTGCCCTGGCATGGTGGGTTGGTGCCACCCTGGGTGCAAACAGCAGTTGGGTGCCACAGTCCCTGGGTAGGTGCCCGATCCCACGCCGCTCTGGCCGGCGGGGAGGCGAGGGCAGCCGGGGCCGTGATGTAACCCGGCGTGCCCGGGAGGCAGTGCCTGGAAGGGAGTGAGCCACCCAGCCGGGGTGGGAAGCCAACGCGCTGCGTCACTCCTTCGGGCTGGAAATTTGGTCGGGAGCCAAATGGCTGCCCAAATCCAGCCAGACTCCAAGAACGCACCCCCGTCTCTCCAGGTCCCACACAACCATAACCTATTTCCCTGCTTTCAGCAGTTGTGGGGAGGGGATGGTTGAGCCAAGGGGCTGGGGAGAGGGTCTGCTGTCCCAGCTCCACCAGAAACAGGCAGGCTTGGGGATGCATCCAGCCAGGTTTGGGGATGCATCCAGCCAGTACCCCACGTGTCCACCCTGCCCATTACACATGGGGCAGCCCCCAGCCCTGGGAAAGGGGGACTGACTTTCTGGGACTGAACTATCCCAAGCTCACTTTCCCCGGGGAAGAGCCCATCCTTCCCAGTGGGCATGGACAGCCCACTGGAGCCCTGCCAATCTTGCCTCCCATGGGTGCCACTGCACTGAGGACAGTTTTTATTTCTTCTTCAAGACGAGCGCCCAGATGCACCCTGCCAGCCAGAGGGATAACTCACACACCACCTGGCAGCTATTTCATCAGCACGGCCGGACCCATAAAACCAGTTAGCTTGGAAAAACAGGGACTCTTCTAATGATACCTTTGGAGCAGTGGTGCTCTGGATCCGAGTCCACCAAGGGAATATCTGGAGGAGACTGGAGGAGGTTGCAGGTCAGCTCTGGCTGGCACACAGCTGCATCCCCAGCCCTGCCAGCAGCACTAGGAAAATGAGCCATCCTCCATCCCTAATGCCTGCAAACTGGCATTTTGCAGCCTTAGAAGAAAATACAAGCACCAAGAAAGCTGCTAATCCTGCAACTAGTTTTACCACAAAAGAAAAGTCTCCCCAGCCCCATTTGTCCAGCTTTTCCCCCTCCTACCATGAGCTGTTGCAAGCAAATCCAAGGTGCTACTCCTTAATCCCAGCCTGGGGAAGCAGGAGCCACCCTGACCCAAGCAACCTCGATGGTGCATTTTATTACCAATTTCAGTGAGGCCCCACTGGGATCGGGGTCAGCAGCAGCTGGAGCTCGCCAGCAGGAGGGCAAAGTGGGGCAAAGCGAAAGAGGGAGGAGGCTCATGGAAAAAAAAAAAAAATAGGGCTTAGAATAGAAACCAGGTTAGGGCTAAACTGTGGGTGGTAGGAGCTGTCACGGCAGGTAGAGCTGGCTGCTGCTGCCAGCCCAGGGAACCTGGGAGCCTCCGAGCCATCCTGAGCATCCTCACCAAGTTCACAGGGTTTCCAGTCCTCCAATTTTGGGAGTTGCTGGGCTGGAGGGCACAGGGTGAGAGGAGCTGCAGGGATGAGCCTGGGTGCAAAGATAACAAGAGCTCAGCCCTGAAACCATCCCTTCATCCTGCAAAGGCTCTTTTGGCCCATCTGACGGCCAGGGCTCAGGACTGCCCCTCTGGAGGGTCCTTGCTGCCCCAAGAGAGCTGCACCCAGGGCAGTGGGATGGAGACTAAACGGAAACAGACTCAGCAATTCTGCAGAAAAAGTAGAGTTTGTTTTTTGCCTTTGTTCCTGAATGGGAAAAGAACAATCAACAATGAGCCAAGCTGAGCACAAGTTAAGATAAGACTGACCTCCCACGGAGCTCCCGGCAGCAGGATGAGTGTCACTGGGCACTTGGCACAGCCCAGAGGGCTCCCCCGAGGTGCACAGAGGGCTCACGAGGTACCACCAGCACCACCCCAGCACCCATCAGCCCAGAGAGCAGGTGGGCGGCCGGATCCGCTGACAAACACAGGAGCCGTCCCACGGCCGTGTCCCTGGCTGGGCGCAGCCAGCCGGAGCCAGGCAGGGAGCTGATAGCGGGATTTACTGAGCGAGGCTGGAGGCGGTTCTGGGAATAACCCCAGCACAAACCCACTTCCCGAGCAGGATGTTGCCTTCTGGCATGATGGCATAGGTGATGGCCCCGGAAAACCGGGAGAGGTGTGACTAAGACTCACGTTTTGTTGGAAAAAGGGCTGAAACTATCCTTCTTGGAGCCGATGGAAAGTCCCCATAGAGCACCCCAGTTTCAGCCTGCACATGGACTGATGACTTTCCCCAGCCCATGGACTACTTGGGACCGAGGATTTCACTTCATCTGCTCCAGACTGGGAGAAAAGCCACTGTTAACCATGTCAAAAAACAGCCCCGTGACTTCCATTTTCTCCAAACAGAAGGTCTTCCTTTCCCATAGGGAAAAGTCCTTTAGTCAACAAAATTACCTTTCCAGAAGACAAGTCCACAGTGATACTGCAAGTGGATTCCCGTGCCCATCTGCTGCCCCACTGAAGTGTCAGGCACGTTGCCCTCAGTCCTTTGGGAAGGCTCTGCTGGTGGCAGGGCTGGTGGGGAGCTGAGGTGAGGAGGACATCTGAGGAGAGATGACAAGTGCTGCTAGCTCCCTCCTCCTTCCTTACATATCCACTAATTTTGGAGAAGAATCAGTGTAAAAAGTTGCTTTTTTTTTTAAGCCTTCAGTCACAACACGGCCTTATCCTGCTGTCAGTCTGGGACAGCTCTTGGCACCATCTACCCTTGGGGTGGTGAGAAAGGGAGTTTATGGTCCCCTTCAGAGAGGAAGGCAGCCATCCCGTGTCACCTCCTCTAGCCCCTGGTGTCCATGAGATGCCTGGGGAGGGCTGGGGACCTTCTCATCCCCCCCCCCCAGCACAGAAAGCCACCCAGGAGGCACCCGCAGCACCCAGCCCCTCCACCTCACACAGGGTCGAACCAGCCTCAGCTTGGGGACACCGTCCCCAGCCGCAGGACTGGTCCTCCCCGGGGAAAGGCGGGTTGAGCACGTGGCATTCCTGCCCAGCGGAGCTGAGCACAGCCCCGGGCCGGGTGAGTAACGCCTTCGGCCGGCTGCCTCGAATGCCGGGGATTGATCTATCACCCGGTGCCAGCGGGCAAGGAGGCGTGCTGCTCCGCTGGCACCTAGGGGCCTCTCTCGACACCTCCAAAATGCCTCCTGGGGAGGGTGAGGGAGTCTCTCCCTGCTCCTTCAAACAGGGTTGACCCAGCTCAGCACCACATCCCAGCTCTGTCCAGGCTCCCCCTTGCTTTTCTGTGCCCCCTCCCACCACTCCAAGAAAGTGATCCCCATGCCCTGCTCCTGCCACAACCCCCAAGCCACTGGCCAAGGACCCTTCTTCCCTCCACCTCAACCACCCCTAGACACATCTCTTGGGCATGGGGACACCATCACACCATCTTCACTTCTCTGCAGTTGGCTTTTGCCCCTCTGCGGGTGCTGCCCTGCCCTACCGTGCTCCTCCAAGAAGCCTGTACATCCCTCGGTGGATACCATGCCAGGGTGCCACTGCCACTCAGGATTCTTGTGAGGAATACCCAGCACGGGGAAGGGGTCGGGCTGTCCCCATTCCTGCAGGTGTTATTCCAGAGTGAGAGCAGAGCTCTGGTCACAGACACGCCGACGCTGCTGCCGGCACCCTGCCCGCGCAGGCTTGTATAACCTCTTACGTCAGACACTGCTGGGCCACGGCCGAGCCAGCTCCTGCTTCCCTCCTTGCCTTCACCAGCCCGGCGTCACAGCCATTCACGGGGCCCAAAGCTCCGGGGTCCTACTCCCTGGGGATCCCTGCACCTACTGGGTGCCCCATGGGCCCCTCTGCCCAGTAGCCTTCCCACGGGGATGCTGGTGGCTGCTGCCACCTGGTCTCTGCTGAAACCCAAGGATGCTCATCCTCCACCTCGGGACCCTTTGGGGCACAGTACTCCTTCACATGGAATAACCTTTGTTGTGGTCTTTGAAAGCAACCAAAAAAAAAAAAAGATACTTTTATGATTCTCCCAGGGGAGAGAGGGCAGGATGTGGCCAGGGCTGCTCCCTGGCCGGTGTGGAGATGAGCCCAGCAGAGCCCGGCAGGCACCCAGAAAGCCTCCACCTCCCGAGCCATCCCTGGCCTGCTTTCCAAACCCAACCGGCCGGGTTTCAGGGTGCTGGAGGTGTGCCAAGACACCAGGGCAGCGGGGCGAAGGCATTCCCTGGCATCAGAGCGGGTGGGATGCCATGCCAAGAACAGCACACACGGCTCACTTCTCCTTCCCAGCCCCCAAAACATGAGCAAAAACCCTTGGGGAGATGTCGTCTGTGGGTGCGACCAGTGGCTGGTTCACGGGTGCCTGTCAGTGCCCTCAGGGGCTGTGCAGCACCCACAAAACTCACAGCAGGGGTCCACACGCCCCTGGGCATGGGTGGCCAAGCCCATACACTGCTGTGGAGCACCCGCTGTTGCCCCTCAGGCATCACTTGCAGGTTGCAAAGCGCCGCAGGGTTTGCTTTGGCGCTCGGTGCTCTTATGTAAGGAAGCGGGAGAGCAGTGGGGATGAACCCTGCTTTGTAGGTCAGAAAATGGAGGTGTGGGGCAGTTAGGGGATTGGGCTAGGTCAGCCCGTGAGTCAGTGGCAAAGGAGGGACTGGCGCGGCAGAGGCTTTATTAGCTGATGAGGGGTGGAGCGAGGCTCCGCAGGCAGGCGAGGAGCCACGCCAAGACACAGCATCGACCGAGCAGGGTCTCACTCTCTCACCTGACGCATCCCCCAGCACCTCAACCCACCGGCGATGTGGCCCCGGCCCCGCTCCTGCTCCCCCTTGTTGTGGCCCTGAGGGGCAGCCGAGCCGCTCGCCCCTCGCCGCAGCCCCAAACTCGCCCACGGCGCAGCCAGGAAGGCGGTGATGGAGCAAGGTCAGTGAAACAGGTTTCTCCTCCTGGGTTCCTCGAGCCGGCGTCCTTCCCCGCGCGGGCTGGGGAGCTGCAGACTTGTTGACAGCGGCTCTCGTTAGCTCGGTTATTGAGTGGGGCCAAGGGCTGGGCTCTCGGCTCCGGAGGTAGCAGCTCGGATGAGGTCATGGTCACCCTGTGCATCTCCCTGTCCCTCCCTAGGTGGATAGCCAAGCTGCTCAGCCTTCCCTGGCTTCATGGGAGCCCCCCTTCCCTGGGAGGTGTGCTCCGAAACACCAGTGGGGCTGGGGTGGCTGAAATAACGGGTGTTTGCGTGGGACCTCTGCTGTGCTGGGGATCTAGAGGGGTTTGGGGGCTGCAGCCCCAGCTGACTCCAGTGCCGTGGCTTGCAGCAGCCCCCGGGTGCTGGCACAGCAGCCGAGCAGCCTGTGCTAAGCTCAGGGGTTGTTTGTGGATGTGGAGAAGGGCCAAGCTGGGGGGTTTATCACAGCCGAGGTAAAAGGCAGCATCTGGGCCAGCTGCCAGGATCGTTCCGCTGCCCTGCTCGGGCCTTTCGCTGTCTCACCGGTGGTCCCGTGCGCTCCTCTGCGCTTCTCACCAGCACTGCCCACGGCTGGTGGCACTACACACCAGGGATGGGGAAACACGGAGGTTGGCGATCCCAGCCATGGGCACGTTTCCAAAATGCAGCTGGAGAGCCCGGGGGCAGCGTGCCGGGGAGGGGTAAGGGTCCCCGTTGCCAGCGCCAGGTTTTGCTGTGACACGGCCGCGCCAGCCAAGCTCTGTTGCTTCCCAGCAGTGAGATAATGGGTCGGGAACAAAGGGATGTTGTAGCAACTGGATCCGTCCCCGATGCCTCCCACGAGGGCAGAACCCATCCTTGGGTGAGGGCAGCGTTGTGCTCGGCCCTTCTGCAACCTCCCGCCGGGGATTGGCAGGCTGTGCCTCGTCACAGCCAGGGAGGGGACCCCAAAGAAATCCATCCTCACCAGGGCTTAAATGCTTTTGTGGGACTTCCTTCCTGGGTTTAGGTGGTTTCTGGGCTGGATCACCCCTTGCAGCCCTGCATTTGCTGCTTCTAGTGCAGGAGTGGGGAGTTGGGTGGTCCAGCCTTCACCTGGGTGTATCCTTCAGTGGCGGCTGATCCTGATCCCACCAGGCCCTTCGGCGCTGGGTGGTTCTGCCAGCTTTGGAGAGCGCTGTTGAGTTGAAGCTTGGTGTCCTGTAGCAGGAAAATATAGTTGTTGTTGAAGCGCATCCTAAAAGCTTAAAGCTCAGACAAAGATCAGGGAACAGGAGCAGTGGGAAGATTGTCCCTGTCCCTCCGAAAAAGCAAGAGGTTGGGAGGTGGTGAAGAAAACCAGGATCACCGCTTGCTCTCGGAGCTGGTCCAGGGCCCAGGCTGGCATCATGGGGCTCTGCCGCGATTGGGGGTCCCTGTTCCCGTGGGGCAGGCAGTGCCGTGGGGGTGGCAGTGCTGCAGCACATGCACCCACGGGTGCTGGCCGACCCCACGCCAGCTGGGGGTCACACAGCCCCCCGGGTGCCTTTGCTGCCCGCTTTCCTCCCACTGAAGCATCAGGAGCAGGACGTACGGGCCCTCCAGGGCACTAATCCTGCAGCGCCGGTGTTGACCCCAGCTGACCGCGGGGGTCTCAGCCAGCAGAGCTACCGAGGAGCCAGTGTCAGTACTGTCTATAGGGTTTCCCACCCCCTTCCCACCCGCCGTCACCTCGGGGACCCCCATGTCCCCCTGCTGAGCTGTTCCCCAGTTCACACAGGAGATGCCCCGTTGCTGGGGGCTGTGCAGGGCTGCTTGGTGCCCTCACCCTGGCACGTGGAGCGGCACAGAGCCGGCTCCATCACTGGGGTTGGAGTCAAGCCCTCTTAAACCACAGTTGCCCACAGCTTTGGCATCCCCACCAGCAGGGCTGGGCATGACCCTGTCCTCACCGAGTGAGCCAGGAGCCCAGGGGTCAAGGGGGACCAGGGATGTTCAGCAGTTGGGGACAAAGATCAGGCAGTTCCTGTGCTGGAAGGACACTTACACCCAGCAGCACCCTCAGCAGGATGAATCCAGACCAGTGCCACGTACCTGGCCACAGCCACATCCTCACCCCAACCAAACGTCCCCCCAGCTTGAAGTCCCCAGCCCTTAAATCCCTCCCTCTCTCTGTGCTGCTGTGGAAGAAGCCTGGGAGAAGATATCTGGCTTTTCCAGCTCTGTGCAACCCTATAGCTCCCCCTTAGCTCCCCTATCCCACCCAGCCCAAGTGGCAAGGGGTTCTGGGGAGATCTCACAGCAGGGGCAACTCCTTCTTGCATGCTTCTGCAGAAACAGCTCCATATGCCTGCTGAAGCTGGAAGAGGTTATTGCAGCCACAACCCCACAATTACAGAGCAAACCTGCGCTCTGGCCCTGCACTGAGCCCCGAGGGAGGTGCTGCCCTGCTCTTGACCCTCATTCAGTGGCAGTCAAGGATTTTAGCTTAACACCCAGGAGGGAGCATCTCCCTACCCTGCAACTTGAGTGAACAGCCTGCCTGCACCAGGCGCTGCGGGCAGACCACCAAAGGCAGACAGACCTGGGGCACTGGTGATGTCCCACACCTTGCTCTGCCCCCCAGAGATGCTCAGTGCCATCTGAGGGTGCATCCCCGTGCTCCTCCGGCCACCCCAGCTGAGACCGAGCTGGTGTGATGGGGACCAGGATGATGGGTACCAGGGAGCTCACTCTGGCCCTGAGACACTTGGTGGCGGAATCCACAGCATTGCCTGATATTTTGCTAACACTTATGAACTGCATGAAGCAAATTTAGAAAATAATTCACCCTGTTAATACCTAAAGCCAACATTAAAAGAAAATGACACTCCATTTCTTCCGCTTTACTCCATTTCTGCCCACTTGGCAGCTCTCTCAGGGAGGACACGCCGAGCCGTGTCCACATTTCTGCCTTTGGGGCACTTTGGTTTTGAGAACAGCCATGGAGGGTCCCAAAAGCCGTTGTAAATTCCCTGTGAGGTGCTGTATCCAACCTAGTCTGTATCGACACTGCATCCAGCCCTCCACTCGGCTGCTGGGGGAGTGGGGGGGGGGCACTGTGCATGGCATGGCAAAGCCGGGGTGTGCCGTGGGTGCTCTGCATGGAGCCCCTTCCCGCTCCCCTCCATTCCTGCCACTGCACATTACTCAGCTGCTCGGCCAGGAAGTGAATCCCCAGCGGGATGGGCAGGAAATACTTAAGGAAGTGGCATGCAATGGCCTGCGCTGGCCTGGCAGGTCCCGGACCCCGGTGTCACCCTCTGGTGCGGGCACCATGGCCATCACCAGCTCCGGGGGAGGATGGAGGAGAGGAGCATCAGGCAGGACTGAGGACTAGGTGCTCCTGCCCAAGAGAGATGCCTCCCCGTGGGCCTCCGTACCCGTAGGACCTACCTGGTGTCCCATGGGCAATGTCCTTTCTCGGTTCCCATGCCAGCCCTGTGTGGCATGGCTGAGCATGTGTGCTGTCCAAGGGGAGCAGCCAGTAACCCCAGTGCTGCTGGCAGCCTGGGGGAAGCCGCCGTGTGCCCCCCTGGGACAGCCACAGAACCCAGCAGCCGAGCAGAGATGCTGCAATGCTCACTCAGCACCTGCAAATCCACATCTCCAGCACCGCCACTGCACACCCTCCGTCACCCCCGAAAACCTCCCCTGCCTTCTCCCTCCTCCAGACCATGGTCTGGGGGCCCAGACAGCTCCTAAGCAAGGGGAGACAAAAGCACCTGAGTGACAAGTGCCAACACATCCCCCTCATGAATCAGCATCACTTTTGTGAGCGATGCTTCCCCAGGCAAGGAGCTGGGGGTGTCAACGCTACAGCCAGACATCTGGCACAGCCCCTTGGCCTCACTCCACTCCCTACATGCCACCTCCTGCACCATCAGGGACAAGAAAATGCATGTTCAAGCTAAACCCAGGGGACTGGTTTTGCTGGGAAGCCCAATTTAACACAGGCACAGGGTGGTTTGGCGTTCATGGCTTGGGGCGTTGAGGTGTGACTGTCCCCAGGATCGCAGGTTCCCTGCCCGGGAGATGATGCCCCGGTGCCCACAGGACCTGCACCGCGTCCGACCTCCCGGGCACCGCGGGCAGGTACAAGGGCCGATGATTGCTTGTTGGCAGCATTGGGTCAGGGAAACCTGCCGCCTGGCTCGGTTTCTGTTTGGGAGGGTATTTAAGGGTGTTCTCCAGGGTGTGCCAGCCCCAGCCTCCACCCTGCTTTCACAAGGGCCCTCTCCGAAAGGAGCTTGTTGTTCTCGGCCATGGAGCAGATGCGATTAGCAACGGTGAGGTTCCCCCGCGGAGGCCGGGTTGCTGATGGGCAGAGAAGTGACAGGGCCCGTCTGTGCTGAGGACCCGGGGACAGACACGTCCCTTCCCCGTGCCTGGGGCAAGCGGAGCCTGGCTCCATCATGAGCCCAGTGGGATGCAGCAACCCGGTCATCTGGGGGGAGTTGGAAACCAGGGGATGTCTCCCAGGCTGGGGAGTTTGAACACTGTCCTGCAAGGGCTGTATCCCCCACACTTTTCAGGAGACAACCTGGTTGGAAGCCAAGGAGCAAACCCAAAGCCAAGCAACATGCACAAGCCCAAAGAGTGGGTGCTTGCTCTGGGGCTGCTGCTGCCTCTGACAGCCACCCCTGTGCCCACAGACCGTCCTCCTCACCCCACCTGGGGCAACCGTGGGCCTCAGTCCATCTCCTGGGTTCTGTAACACCGTGTTGGTGCCACAGCTCAGTTTTGGTCTTTCCCTGTGGTCATGGAGGTGACCATGTTGGTCTTGGGGCTCACCCATCCTGAGCGGCATTTCTGGGCTTGGTCTTAGCTGTGCAGAGACTTGTCCCATGGCACTTGGTTACTGTCACATCCCCAAACCTTTTCACCATCTCTTTGGAGGAAAGACAAGCTGGGAGAAGGGATGTCTGTCAGCATCAGCCCAACATCAGCAACTGCTTGGGTG